ATAATTTGGAAGATTCTTAAGTTGAAAAGGTAGAATAAGACTGGTTGCCTCTTTTGTACAAACAGGTCTTTCCAGTACTTTGTTATAGAGTAGTGTTAGTGGTAGAACTCAAGTTACAGCCAGTAGGGCAGTGGGTGACACCCTTTTGCAATAACTTATAAAACTTTTGACAAAAATTAATGAGTTTGGGGCCATTTTTATGCAATGAACTTTTAACTCTGTACAGATGCAATGAAATACACCATTGTGGTAAGTGCTACTGCATCAGATGCTGCCCCTCTACAATATTTGGCTCCATACTCTGGCTGTGCTATGGGAGAATACTTCAGAGACAATGGAAAGCATGCTTTGATCATCTATGATGACTTGTCAAAACAGGTATGAATGATGTGACCTGGATATTATCTTAAACTTTATTTGTTTGACCTTTTTATGCAATTGGTTATTGATCTCCGCGGCTCTTCACTGGCTGAGATGGATGGCTTTTTTACACTTTGTAAAGATCGGTTATCATCAATTTGAGAAGGGGGCTGATTGTGTAGTACTTTGTTCAAAATTGCTCCTGTTTAAAGTGGTGGGTGAGGGAAACAGTTTTTTTCACTTGTTACTTCCTAATTAAATGGCTTTCAGTTCTTGGGAGAGTGATCCTCTTATTTAAAGTATTAGCTTGCCCGAAGATCATGTGCTCATGAGTGCCATGAGCATTTGCAGACATATGAAGTTGGCTGAAATAGAAAAACTATGTGATTGTCTTTTTACAGGCTGTAGCCTACCGCCAGATGTCACTTCTGTTGCGTAGACCCCCTGGTCGTGAAGCTTACCCAGGTGATGTGTTCTACCTTCACTCGCGTCTTTTGGAGAGAGCAGCCAAAATGAATGATGACAACAAGGGAGGTTCCCTGACAGCACTTCCAGTTATTGAAACCCAGGTCAGAGAATAGCATTTTTTTTCTCCTTTTTTGATATGTTTTAAATTAATGTGTTGAGCCTTTTTGGGGGAGAAAAGAAAGAAAGGGAAAAAAAAAAACAGCTTAACCTTATTGGCAAGGGGGGACATCTGGTTTTAGAAAAGCAGTGTCCAAGCTTTCAACTGTTTTAACCTCCAGTGTGAATTTTTGTTTAATTTATAGGCTATTGCCTTCCATAGTTGTACTTGAAGTATAAAGCTACCTGAAATGATTCCACATTAGGGGTATCATTTAAGCCAGGCCAGAGTGTGCAAACCAGTAACTAGTGAGCTTTGCACAGTTGCATGACATGACTCATCCTAGCAGAGTGCTAGATTTGGACTACAATTTAAAAGTCATTCACTTGTAGTCTATTTGCAAGTTTCTCTTGTGTTAGATTTTTACTCCCCTTTTACACAAGAACTTCACAATCTCTAAAAAAAAAGACCAAGATAAATTTTTTGTACACGTTCATTATTATTTCATAATCAAGTCCTCGCACTTGTACCTACAATTGTTTATTTGTTTCCTTTTGTTTGTGTTTCATCAATAGGCAGGTGATGTGTCAGCATATATTCCAACCAATGTTATTTCCATCACCGATGGTCAGATCTTCTTGGAGACAGAGCTGTTTTATAAAGGTATCCGTCCAGCCATCAATGTGGGTTTGTCTGTAAGCAGAGTGGGATCGGCTGCCCAAACCAAGGCCATGAAACAGGTACAGTGGCTTGTCAAAGCTCTCTTCTTATTTTATTTTCTACTACTACTATTATTTTTGTTTTCATATTATTAGTATCAATAGTATCATTCTTATACTATTATTATTATTATTATTATCATCATCATCATTATTTCAATCATGAAGGATTTTCGAAGGTCATAAGATTTTCTAAGTATTTTTAGTGTTTCACTAAAGGCTACAAGTGAGTAATTACCTACATGGGACCGGTGAGTATGATGAAGTGCCCAGCCTATTGTTAGTTGGTGTGGTTCACCACTTTACTGTCTTGGCAAATGGAGCAAACTAAAGTGAGTATGTCAGCCAAGCCAATTATCAGCCCTCCGTGCAGAATAAAAAAGGAAAAAACCAGAACAAAGACAAATTAATCACTAAAATGGAATGAGGAGCCATGATTTTAGAACACACTTTAAATCTTTGTTTTTTATAAGAATTATTCACAACAATAAGTGTTTTTTTTTTATGTCCATAAGGTTGCTGGATCCATGAAACTTGAGCTGGCACAGTATCGTGAAGTGGCAGCTTTTGCTCAGTTTGGTTCTGATCTGGATGCTGCCACTCAGTCCCTCCTGAACCGGGGTGTCCGTCTTACTGAACTTCTCAAACAAGGACAGTATGGTAGGTACCCAAAACGCCTAGCTGGTGTATGCACCGTTCATTTTTTTTAGATTCAGTGTGTGCATCATAAGTACCCTTGTAGTGGGGGTCTTTTTTTGTGAATTCTTTTTCCTCCATTTTCTTTCTGGCAGTGCCTATGGAAATCGCTGAGCAAGTGGCGGTGATCTATGCCGGTGTTAGGGGTCATCTTGATAAGGTAGATCCTTCTCGCATCACAGCGTTCGAAGAAGCTTTTCTGAAACACATCCGCACATCACAGAAGGATCTCATCGAGACCATCAGGAAGGAGGGTGTCATCTCGGAGGACACAGATGCCAAGCTCAAGAAAGTCGTCACAGAGTTCATCGCATCTTTTGAATGATTTTTTTTGAAAAGTGTTAATATTTTTTTCAACCGCATTTTGTGTAAAATGTGTTCTCTTAAGAAATCAACCAGCCAGTTGTTTTGGCGCTCCTAGAAAAATAAAAAGAAACATAACTTGAGAAAAAATGCATACTGCACTTTGGTATGAACTACATCTATCGCTGTAGATTCCTACACCAGTGTCGTCATCAGACCCGGTAAGCAGGATTTTGTCTTTTTCCAGGCTTACCGCTCAGGCGCTTCTCGCTGTTTCCCGGGGGCCAGACTGGGAATCAACCTAGGCTCTGATGGGAACGGCTTGATTCTCTCTGCACTTATAAGTAGGCTACAAGCGGTCCCTCTCTTTCGGCATTTTCCGTTTCGTCAGTCAAAGGTAATCGGAGAATTTTCCAGTGTAACTTTTGATATCACGTAGGAGACCCCTCGGATATACCTTTGAGGGCAAGCGTTACCGCAAAAAAAAAATATTGACTTGTAACTGCTGTTAACTAAGGCAAATCGTTCATGACAGTGATCTGCTTTTGGTGTTTCTTCCTAAATTAATTCTACATCGTAAGGTGCTTCGCCTTCCCACTTGAGAATCGATCGTGTAAAGCACCAGTCAGAGAAAGGCCTGACACCCCTACTACCCCCCAACAACCCCTGGCCTAACCTGCCAGTAGGATCCAATCATCAACGATTCGGCCCATGTGTTTCTTCGCCCACTGTGCAAGTGAGACTTCTAGTGGGCAAACGTAAGGCGTTTGGGATAAAAAAGTATCCGCAAGCCCCGATTATTTGGGCCACACCCATCGTAGACCTTTCGCCGCAGCGCTATCAACTAAGGCCAAGGTGTTATGCGATCGCATGTAGGGGGGAATGAGCTACCGTGCACACTACTCTCGGCGAAAAGGCAGCAAGATTCTAGAACTGTTTTTCTTTTTTTTTTTCTGATTGATTTAATTACTCGGTTTTCCAGTACATAATTTCACCTACATCCAATTTTACTTCACTCTGTGTAACTGCGCAAATCTTTTAGGGTCTTTCAGTTTGATTCTCATTGAATACTTCTCACTGACTTGTGCTGTAAACTCTCACTTCTGCACACTTTCTACATCATCCCTACTTTCTTAGGTAAGCTCTAGAGAACTTGCTTACACATACACTATTGATTGATACGGGTGGTCATGCCAGCTGGCTGACCTTTGGAGCATGATTAAAACATTTGTTGCTAGAACACTAAACCAAACAGTTTCATGAGACTTTCGAAATCAACAACAAAGTACTTAATCATAATGCTTCCAGTCAACTGAATCAACCTCTGACTGCGTCTGGCAAGAGAGGACTTTTTCAGTGTAGATCCAAAGCAAGGTCAATAGACAAACTGAACACATCCACTTAAAGTTAGACGAGTCAGTCACAATTCGGAAATTCATCACGATGGCTCAAACCTAAATAACTTCGGACTTTGAATTCATATCATGAGTAATTACATTCTAAGTATAAAAGAGTGACTAAATCACACTGAACTGACTGACTAAATGACTGACTAAACTAACCAAATACTTCATAACAAACTCCTCGCCGATTGCTGGTCAGGTCATAACAAGGGATTTTTTCAGAAAAGTTCAAAAAAGCTTATCAATCTCGTGATGTTATGAACGGATGCTTTAATTTAAATCAGAGAGAACGTTATGCGCAACTCATTTCCATGCCTCTTTGTGAAATGCACGTATGAAAATGACTGCCATCTTGGATTCAAACTTACGAAGTCTTTTCCACCAACCACAGCCCACGGATCACCTTTGCACAGTGTATCTTGTTATAATGCACAAATGCCCAACCTACATAAGCCGCGGAGAAAAGCCCCCCCCCCCCCCATGCACTAGGATGGGGGATCAGCTCAAGGTAACATTGACCCCCCCCCCCCCCCCCCCCAATGCACTGGGATGGGGGATCAGCTCAAGGTAACATTGACAGTAGGGTCTGAATGGGGTGTTAGCTTTTACAACTAACGGTCAAAATTTCGTTTTTTTTTACGGCTAACGGTTAATATCATTCCATTCTTGTCACCACAACATTTTTTACGGTTAAACTTTTTTACAACTATCAGTTAAAATTTTTAAGTAGTCAATTTTACACATAACAGCTGTTAGGTGGTAAGTTTTTGGCTGTTTTACGGCTGTCGGTTAACCCCATTGAAACCCTCGGACAGTTGTTCTCATTTGGGACAAATACTTAGGAAATTTTTTAACGTGGCCTACCTCGTTAGGTTGGTTTAGCCAAGGGTGGAAAATCGACAAAAACTTGTGTGTGTTGTGTTTTAAGAGAAACGATTTTTTAAAAATGTGCAATAACCTTTAATCGATAAAAAAGCACACAGCTACAAATTATATGAACAACCGATTATATGTTCGGTTAAGTTAGTTAAAGGGGAAACTGATAACAATGAATGCCATGCAAATGAGTAATATAGGATCAACACTAAGCTTAGTCCTTTTTACAATAATGTTAAAACACCGGCTGCAATGCAAGTCTTGATATTAGGGACCAGTCAATATTCATTGCTGGGGCAGTCAATTTTCCATAGTCCCCTGTTGACGACAATCGATCTCCCCACCGTCCCTCCCCGATCGTTTTGTCGATAAACTGTAAAAGAGGTTGAGATGGAGATGACTGTCTATTTTAACGAGAACGACAAGCTTAGGATGTCTATCCCTTAAAAACTTAAAACTAAATTTTGTTAATATTGCGTAGTAAAATTCAATCGTCGAAACCGTAGCCTCTTGTGGATTGAAATCTTTGCAGTTTTTTTCTAACCGTTTCCCTTTGCTGATCCGTCCAAATCACATTATAGCGCGTTTTACTGGCCTCTGGATATATTCTCTTGGAACAATCCTCGATATATTTCTGATCACAACTGAGGTGTAAAAACTGACAAATTCCCAGCAGAGTTTTCTTTGGTTCTTTGATCAGCTCTGAACTGTGGATCTCATGAACATCCCCAGGGAGCACTTTCGTTAGTTGATTGTTTCTCGCTGCCAAAGACATATATTTTGCTATTTGGTTATCCAAATTATCGGGATCATTGATCTGAAATTGAACGAAGGAAAAATTTAGACATTACATCTGAAATTCAACCTGAGTGTCTTGAAGCAGTTGTGACAATACTTACGTGAAAGCAGGCAAAAGGGACGATAAATGTGAAAAAAGAGGAATAAATACAACTGCTGACATCCGAGAGCCAATGTCTCAAGCTTTCGAATATAGAAAAAGTAATGAAAGATTAATTATTCAATGGAATCAGAATCAGTTACCGAGAACAAGCGGTTTACCATATTTCAGTTTAAGGATTCCGAAATAAGTTTAAGATTACTGTAACTGAACCTCATCTACGACGTATTTGATCAGCCAAACTGGAAAGATAAACAAACCATTTGACTAAACAATAGAAAATACACAATATAGACCAGGTTAAACGAATCAGTTTTGAGATCAAAACTTAACTTCCCTACCTATTCCTCAAGTTTTGTGTAACTTGCTTTTTATTTCATCAAAAACTTACCAAAACTCAACAGTTAAGTATAGGGCAAGTTAGAGGCCCACAGTCAAGTAATTTAAGCACCTTCTCTTCGGCGTCCGGTCTCTTTTTCAGATCTCTTAGCATCATGGTTGCAATGTTGTCGTAAGGATTCCGGACGACATGAAGGAACTTCATCGGGATTTTCAGAACTCGGTGAATGTCTTTCAGTAATTTCATGTTTTCTCTTTTCATAAGTCGTCTGGTGGTATGACCCCCCTTTTTGGCTCCCATTACCTATTCGATGATTGAGGCAATTACAACTGTAAGGAATAGAATTCAGTTATGTCAAGAAACTGCAACATAATTCTTAGGGGAAACAGAAACATACGGTGCTGAAGAAGATTCAAGCAAATTTTTGTAACTGATTAGTCGATGATACTGAAAAAATAAAATAATATAATAAAATAATATAAAATAATATATACTTCCGTTTCAAATATTAAACACTCCCCACCCCTGAGAGGGAATTCTTAGAGGTCAATTGCTACCCCGGCCAACGCTATTAATCAATGGTTGACTAAGAGAGGAATGCACAGGGAGGAGGCAGCTGGGACTCACCAAAACCTTTTGATCAAATGTTCCCTGCCATTGGCCTGGCACTGAATAATTGAAGCGATGTTGGACCGTGGCCGAACGGTAACCAGTATCAGCTTCCATTTTGGAGTTCAGGTAAAGCTGGTCAAAGAGGAAATACTTGTTTCTGTTGGTTGGGATCCAGTTTTGCCATTCACCAATGTCATCAAACTCATTAGCAACTATGGCGTTAGGATGAGCGTCTAACAAGGAGCTGATAAGGGTGTGGCCACTGCGAGGATAGCCAATGAACATTAAAAAACTTTCCACACCGTCATACAGTTCACGATTAAGTTTGTCCTCATTTATGATTCCGTATTCTTTTATTCGGCGTAAGCCTTGTGGAACAAGTAAGTATATTTGCGGTAAGTCACTTCTGCCTTAGTATTGCAACAAATCTTTCAGCGGTACACCCAACCAATATTTAATTAGACCTGATGGGTAGGTACTTGGTGAAATCCTTAATGTCTGTTAATGTATGCAAATGACCATGTATTCCCACATGTTCTTATGTATTGATACATGTATGAAGGATTTCACCAAGTACCTACCAACTGATGACTTGATTATTCCCGAGTTCTGTGCAAAACGTAAGCACTTTACACTCACGAAACTTGTTCAAATATGTTTCTTTTCTGTGACTGTCTCCTGTCGCTTTTTCGACTCTATGGTCAACATTATCCAAAAGCTACGAACTTTTTTAATGAGCTTCACAGAATGTTTTTTCTTGTCTGAGCGGGATCAGAGCAGGCAATCCCGAACGGGTAAGAAGGGCTCATCTTGTGCGCTTGAGTGGCTAATCAGAGATTTACTTTTACTTCAAGATGCACTTTTACATCGTAGCAATTATTGTGTTTGGTCTGTCCCTATGGTGTAGTGGACAATTATCCACCTATTGCTGATGATGTTTTTAAGGTTAGACTAGGCAAGTGATCAAGAATTTCCCGTAAACCGATTTCTAAAACTTAACTTGGGGATTTTATTTACCTTTCAACCGGTATGTTTTCCCCTAAAACGCTAAGTTACGCGAGAGCAAAAACGTTCTTACTTCAACAATAATCTGATAGACCAGGAGAGAAAAACAAGTAACTCGACCAAACCCAAATCAACGAACGATTGGAAATGAATAAACAATAATTATAATCAAATTAAGGCTATCATCGTTATGATGGGAATGACATGGTACAACTGAAAAAGACTTGCGTTACTCTCTGCCCTTACCTAATATTTCCACCAAAAATGAACGTGAGAAATCATACGATGAGGCTCTTTGCCGTAAAGATTTTCAGTATATCGCAAAAGACCAGAAGAAATACGTGGTACTGTAATATTGCGTTGACGATTAAAATCTACGAAAATCTAGTTGTTGATAAAACATGAGAGATATCCTCCACAAGATGAAAGAAGAAAGAAAGAAGCCAATCGAATTGTTGTGACGTATAAAAGAACTAGCATCAATCATACTTGGATATATACGTAAGTCACTAAAATTACTGCAAGGAATTGCGCTTGTTAACTACCTATAGATCAATCCACTTGAATAACTTCTGTGAATGCAAAGTTGTTTGATGTAGAGGTGAGACACTGGAAGCGAGAAAGCATCAGTTGGCGCGTACATACCTTTTCTTCCCGCCAGTTTTCTGACAAGTAAGCCCTTATAGTTAGTTGACATTACAAAAACAAGCGCAACGACGGAAAGTACAGTAATCCCACACCATAATCTGCGATTCATAGTTCAATTATTTTATCGCGGCGTATCGGAGATGTGATGTTCATGGTCGTGACCTCAGAATGACATGTGATCCAACGCAACTGAATAACTTCACAGAGTCACGCAGGTCACACAACAACAGTACAGCAGTGTTAGTCAACGCTACAGTATTCTGTGCTTTCAGTTAATATGTGGCAAGATTTCAGGAGCATGACCCCTTCCTATTGTCTATTATAGTTGACGGCAATTACTTAAAAAATAGCGAGTGGTATTTTAGATTACCTAGTGATTTCGTAGGATTTTTTTTGCTTTGGTTTGCCAATATATTTTCCCAATTCTTAAAAGCAAACCAAAGTTTACTGCTCGTGTTTGATGTAAATCATTATTATTTTGAAATAAGATAGAGGCTTTTAAATAAAAAGAATGACATCTAAAAATGACTGTACAAATGATATTTCTTCAGCTGCATTAGCCCTAACCGTTTCCCGGCTTTGAAATTTTTGAAAACCGTGCTAAAGTCAAATTTACAACCCTTTCCTTTTCTTGAATTTTCAACCTCAGTAAAAACTTATTCTGTGCATCACTGAGCCCAGAGGTCATTCAGACTCCTCGATTTTTTTAAGTCCACGATAGGAAAATATGGTTTGTGAAAAGTTTATAAAATGAAAATGCTGATTGGACTTGATTAATGGCCTCTATTCTTTAAATTCATCTTTTATTATTACCACACCATCTGAGCAAACAAGAATGTTCACCTACTTGACATAACCACTCTAAGTCAATAGACTGTTTCGCTTGGCCTGTGTTGTTATGACATCGCCTAAAGAAAAATTTTAGAAAATTTTGTCATTTGGATTCATTGAGATAGCGACTTATCACACTTCCTAATGACGTCATAAATACGGCTTTTCTAAGGAGCAATCACGCTATAACAAACTGACTTCATTTGAAGAAAAATACAGAACAAACTATAGCTACCCTGTATCTAAAGGAAAATTTCTCGAAAAGACCAAGGCGTTAAATTTCAGAGAGAAAAAAAAAATCGAAAGACGAAAAGAATAAGTGCAAATGATAATAATAATAATTGTTTTATTAAAAACGCACCCAAGATATTAG